GATCTTAAAAATCCCTTCCAATCTAGGTGATTCTGTGATTCTGTGAAATAATCCTGTTGGCCAGCCTGGGTCGAATGCCCAGGCCTTGCTCCTCCTTGTCCCTGCACATGGCAAGGCTCGAAGACACTAAGACCTTGAATCCCACAGAGCCTGGCTGGCTATAAAGTAATTATTTTCACAAATTCAGGCACCAGAGTCTTCTAAAAGGGTGATTTTCCCCAGCATTAGAAGAAAAATTAGTCCTGTGTCTCCCAACCCAAGACAACTTCTCAAAGCATGTAGGTTAGGAGCGTCTTCAAGGTCCATGTGCTCGGATGTTCCAGGATGTTCCTCCTCAAGAACGTTAACAATACTTGCTTCCCTTGATTAGGAGTCCTTTCACTAATCATCCTGGACAGGTTCAAGGACAGAACCCTCCCAGTCTGTCTGAGGGGCTCTGCACGTCCATTGCTATTAACCATTTCAAGGAGACGCTTCGGTAACACAGCCCCTCATCTGGGGTGGTCCCCACACAGCCCCATCCCCACCAACTCCTGAGGGCTGGGGTGGAAGGGACAAACATGGAGGGGGGTGAGCAACGCCTGGAGAGGACTCTGGGGTGGGGGATGAGTAAATTCCAGGCAGCCTCCAGGAAACTTCTCTCTTGGCCATGAACTATTGAAGCAGGATTCTTTCCTCCCCTGCAGCTGGGGAGCCCCCCATCCAGCAGGGCTGGCTCTACCTGGGCAGCCCCCAAGCCCCTCCACCATGGCTGTTGGTTTCCCCCCATAGCTCAGGAGGATGTCCCTGTCCCACCCCCCTGGTCACCGCTGGTGGGATTCAGCCCTGCAAAGAGGGTGGGAGCCCCCCCACACCCTGCCACAGCCACCCCCAAGGGAGTTGGACCACCAACCATCTCAGCCCCACAGCGGGTGCCCCCTCCTCATCCTACCGGACATCCCAAGCCGGCGGCAGTGCTGGGATGTGTGTGTCCCCCCCCGGCCTCTCCTTCCTGTGAGTTATTTAAAGCCTCTGAGTGTCTGCCTGGTGCAGGGGGGATCCGGGGGGGTTGAGCTCGGCGCAGGAAGCCTGAGATGGCTGGGTCAGGGCCAGCTTTGGAGGAAATGGGGAAAAAAAACCCCACCCAAACTCTAAAGCCAGCGGTTGGGTGCCGTCTGTGCTTAATGCACACCCCCCACCACCCTTGCTGTGCCCCCCTCTCTCCTGGGAATACCCCACTGTGTCCCCAGCCTGGAGAAGGTCTGTGTCCCCTCCAAAGTGCTGCCTTTTCCCCTCACCCCTGATTTCAAGCCCTGGATGGAGCTGCTGACCGGGCACGAGAGGCTGAGCCCTGGGGGCACCCACCGCAGCCGGGTCAGGGGCTGGACCCCGCTGAAACCCAGGATGGGTTTTCCAGCCCCGGCCACTCTGGGTGCTCTTCTCCACATCTCCCTGATATTTTGGGGTGGGGGGGGATCCGGTTCTGTTCCTCTGCCTCAATGTTTACTGCGGCGCAGCCCCCAGGCTGGGTTTGGGAGCCCCAGCTCTTTTCTGCTGCCGGAAACGGCGGTGGCTGCAGCTCGGCTGGGTTCATGCTGGGGTGGTGGCAGGTGTGTGTGGAGCCTCTTTCGGTCCCCCCCAGTCCCCACATCCTCTAGAGGCAGCTGCACCCCGAGCCGGGCCGGTGGGAGGGTCGGCACACCCACCCCGGCAGCATCCGGGCACGGCAGCCGGTGCTGAGCCGGGCTCGCTCGTGGCAGGGGCCACTCCAGCTCCTGGCAGGTTGCCCCACCAAGGTTGACTGTGGTCCAGCTCCAGCATCCCTCCGGCTCCAACCGACCGTCACCCTCCTCCCGGGCTTCTGCTGTGAGTGTCTGCTCCACACCAGGGGATGGAGGGAGGATGGATGGATGGAGGGAGGATGGATTAATGGCCTCAGGCTACACCAGGGGAGGTTCAGGCTGGATATTAGGAAAAATTTTTTCACCGAAAGGGTTCTCAGCCCTTGGAATGGGCTGCCCAGGGAGGGGGTTGAGGCCCCATCCCTGGAGGTGTTCAAAAGACGGGTTGATGTAGTGCTGGGGGATGTGGTTTAGTGACAGTGTTGCTTTTTGGTTGTTGTGTGGGTGTTTATTTTTGTCAAAATAAGGTTGACGGTTGGACAAGATGATCTTTAAGGTCCCTTCCAACCTAGAAGACTCTGTGATTCTGTGATTCTGTGAGGGGGTCTGCAGCCCGTTGGTAGCAGGAAAACCTCCTGCTCAGGCTTCTGAGCATCGCACCCCCCCCAGCCTCGCTGGCCCTGGGGTGACACCGGGTGCACGGGATGTCCCTGTGTCCCCACTGGGCTTGGATGCTCCCAGTGCTTCCCAGTTGGATGAAGATTCTGGTGCCAGGGAGGGGCTCTGCCCCCGCAGCAGAGCAGGAGGAGCAGCAGAGGAGGCCGTTGTGTCCCCTCCTGTGGCTCCCACGGAGCCCGGGGACTGGCCACCTGGGCCACCTGCCCCTGGGGCAGCACAGTGACCCACCGAGCTCTGGGCGGCCGGGGCTGGGTCCCCTGGGGCAGCGGGGGGACAGCGAGGTGATGGGGACACCCAGGGACGCTGCCGGAGGATGGGGAGGGGGGGGCACCTGCTTCTCCTCCACCCTCCTTCCTCCCCATTGCCGGGTCTCGGGGCCGGGGGGGGGGGACACAGTGGGGACGCCCCCCTCCCGGTGGAGCTGTGTGATGCGGGTCCCGCGGGGACAGCGGCGGCGGCAGGACTGACCCCCC